TTGTCAATTTGATAAAATATAAAGTAATTTGACAAAAATAAATGTCAAACAAATATTTTTGAATTTTTAAAAATTATTTCTATCCACTAAAAATAAAATCATGTAAAATTGATAAATCTTTTAGACATTTATTTATTTATTTTACCAAATTAATTTTTATTATGTATTTGGATGATAATCATGTAAAATTAATTTTTAAAAATTAATCATGTAATTTTTATTAATTTTTATCAATTTTACATAATTTTATCATTAGTGGATAAAAATAATTTTAAAAAAATTAAAATATTTTTTTAATATTTATTTTTGTCAAATTAGTTTATATTTTATTAAATTGACGATTTTATCATTGAAATTAAATAATGATATCTTTAATTTTTTTATTTGAAATAAGATTTAAAATTTAAAATTTAAAATTAAATGTGTTATAATTAAAAAATTAAAAACTAAAATAAGATGAGTCCCAAATTATAAAATTTTTTAATGTAATTTGTCCAAAAATTTATCTACCAAAATTAAACCAAACACACTCAGAATTTCCTTTGTTTTGTGTGGGTTTGTTTGATTCTGGAAGTGGAACCCGTGACCCACCGATCATCACTCTCTCACCAATCTCCACAATATTACATTTAAAACTCTGACACTTCTGTCATCTGTCCCTCTGCTGTATCATTTACACTCTTGTCTGTCTTTTAATTCTTTCACCACGCATTTTCCCCACGCATCTCATCCTTTTGAGATTCCCCCCAAAAAAAAAAAAAAAATCATAGTTGTGATATTGTTATATAGGCCTCGTTTGGGAAGTGATTATTTTAGTAAATTATTTTAGTTTTTGACTATTTTAGTAGGTTAAAATTTTTGTGTTTGAAAAGATGATTGGATTTTTTTGTAATTGGATGTGATATTTGTGAGAGAAAAAGTGAAATGATTATGGGTTTGATGTGATATTTTGTCTTATTAACTATTTTAGCCTATTTTATCTTTTTGTGATTTTTAACCTAAACTAAACTATTTTTTTTATTCCCAAACACCCCCATAATCAATGGTACTACACACTTATTTCCGATGTGAGTTCGGATTTTCTCCCCGAGGCCTCTCTCTCATTTCTTACTTGTAACGGCTCAGATGAGTCGTTGCACATCCAACGGCTCAAATTAAAAAAAAGAAATACAATGGAAAATTTCGTCAATCTCCTGCCCAAACAAAAACACGGTTTATACATTCACTCTCACTCTCACTTTCACTCAGCCTCACAGTCACCCATGGTCGTCCATCTAACCCACCCTCACCGGCGAACCGACGACCAATCCCGACGGCGACCCAGACAGCGAACCCACTCGTGACCCCACGACGACCATAGCTCCACCACTCCAGCCTCTATGCTTCGTGAACTCCACCACCATCGGTTGAGCAAAGATCTCTTCTTCACGAACCGGGTTGGTCTTCGAACGTCTGAAATAAAGAAGTAAGGAATCTGAAAAAATGTAGGGCTTTTAGAGTTGGAATTTCAGAAAAAATTTAGGACTTTTAGATTTGGAATTTCAAAATTAGGGCTTTGATTTGGGAATTTGAATCATCTGAAAAAATTTAGGGCTTATAGATTTGGAATTTCCAAATTAGGGCTTTGATTTGGGATATTGAAACGTCTGAAAAAATTTAGGGCTTATAGATTTGGAATTTCAAAATTAGGGCTTTTTTAGCCGTAACTACAATGCTGTAATTTTCAAAATTAGGGCTTTTTTAGCCCTAACTACAAGAAGTGTACCTATTCTTTTTTCCATCTCTGTCCATATGTAAGTACTTCTGTAATTTTAATAAATTTTAGGATAAATAAATAAATTTATCCTGTCCATATAAGTAGCTGTAGCTGTAGGATAAATAAATTTTAATGGCTTCTGTTAATAAATCTATTTTAACAGGTGTGTGTGTCCCATAAAAAACATTCTAATGGCTATTATGACTTCTTGAATGGCTTCTTGAATTCAACTGCAAGAAAACATTCTCATACTATTATGAAACAATACCACCATTGTGTGTGTGCCCCATAATCAATTTCAGTAAGTCTAGTTATGCAGAAACCAAATATAGAATTCTTGTGTATAAATATATGGATGAACATGATTTTACAAGATTTGATGGTATAGCCCACTTCTAAAACTTCTTGAACATGATTTTACTATCTTATTCCCTGAATCTCCCTAAAATTATCGCTTTAAACTTTCTTAAATATGATGTGGGTGGTAATTATTATATTATGTTTTGAAAAGACTTTATTTTTTATTTTTCACTTTTGCACCATTTGTTTTTGTTTATCATTGTGGACTTTGGCCGATGTTTTTTTTTTTCTTCATTAGTATATGCCCACATTTTGATGGACCTAGCATGGTATCTTCTTTTTTTTTATTTTCAGTACAGACTGATTTTGAGCTTGCCTGAGGTTGAGTGGGATAGGTTTCTTGAATGAGATTCTGATTGAATGGGTTTGCTGAATGGTTTGTGTTTTTAAATGAGCAGCTTCTGTTCTTTTTTTTTTTTAATATAATACTTTTATTTGTTTTTTTCATTAGTGAGTGACATATTTTGAGTAAATTAATAGTGTTGCCAGTTATATATGCATATTTATATTGCTGTCTATTTTGCATGTGTTTCTGTCATGACCCAAACCCGTCCCTATGGGTTTAGCACCGTAACCGGCCAGTAATCCGTGATTACCAAAGGCCTGCTTAACAGTAAAGACAGTAATACAGAGTAAGGGGCTGACGGAAGCCAAAACAGTAAATAAAAGGTGTCTAATGAGCTGTGACATTCTGAATGCAAAAAAAAATTTCTAAACATATTCACATTCAAACCAAAATAGTATATACATACATCATATACAGACATTCAGGTTAGTGCCCAAATCCCTAACATAACAGTACAGTGTAAGTCTCAACATTTATTACAGAACAGAGGCAAAAGGAGAAATCTAAACACCCCAAACCAGCCTTGGCTTTGACGCACTCGGAACCTTGAAGTGAGGCACAATGGTTGGCTTCGACAAAACGGGAGCTTAGCATGACGCTCCTAGCATCGGTTCGGTGCCTGGACACCTACATATATATATATATAAACAGTGAGCTAAACCCCAGTGAATAACAGTTATGTAAAGAGGTTAAGAATGAATGTCTTTTTAGTAATTAAACAGTCATATCAGTCGTTTAGAAACCATAGCAGCCATATGTGGTACATCCCATAGCAAAACAATATAGTAGGTCTTAACAGACCGAACAGTCAGTTGATGGCCATCATAACAGTAACAGTAGTAGTTCCAAACTTGGGAACCGACAGAGATCTCTGTGACAGTAGCAGTAACAGTACAGTAACAGTAAGTTGCTAAGGATGCCACGAATACAGTTTACAAATAGGACAAACATTCATTCATTAAACAATAATGTTTCAGTAAACAGAACAGTTGATCATTCAGAAAATATTCATAATTGAACATATCTTTACAACATTGTTACTCGCAGAGCATTGGGCTATAAGCAGCTAATGAGCGTCCTCGGATGCCAACCCTACACAGTTACAGAACGAACACACACTAAGTTACACACTCGGGAATCAACAACTTAGTCCCTATCTTGACTCGACGTGGTTCTATACCAATATCCTCATTAAAGATGCCTTAAACATGGCCTAGGAATGTCTAGGATGGAAGGAGGATGCAAAGATGCACTTTAAAACACTTTTTAGAATTTTCAGAAAACAGGGGTCTCACTCGAGCGTGGCTTTCTACGCTCGAGCGGACATGCAGACAAAGGATCTCCGCTCGAGCGTGACTTCCTTCGTTCGAGCAGACTATAAACTTCATGAAAAGTACTGGATGCATGCAATTCACGCTCGACGGACGCTCGACCTCCGCTCGAGCGTGAGACTCAGGTCCTCGCTCGAGCGTGAACTCTCTCGCTCGAGCGGACAGTAAAACACAAGAACTCCTGGGTACATACATTTCATGCTCGAGCGCAACTTTCCACGCTCGAGCGGAAGTGCACGACTCAGAGGGTACGCTCGAGCGTGGAGTGCTACGCTCGAGCATGGGTCCAAAATTTGGAATTTCCAGATTCATCCCCAAGCACAAAACTCAAGCATTTAAGCCTCAAACTCGATCCTTTTGGGCTAATTTTTTGGAAAACACTTAAAAACCCATAATACAACATGTTTCAAAGATCAATTTTGTAAAATCAAGCCCAAAGGTAAACCAATTGAACACTAATTTCAAATAAACTTCAAGAACAAGATGTACATTTAACATGTATGTGTTCAATTGAATTCAAAGCTACTAACACATGACCAAATGCAAGTTTTAGCTCAAGAACATGATGAATTCATGGACTGTAACAAAAATGTGGACATGCATATGGGAATTCATGAAGAACAACCTCAAAATGCTATGGTATAGACATGCATGCATGGATTCACTCTCAAATTCAACTCTTAAAACCAATTCTTGAATCTAAACACTAATTTACCATGGACCATGCAAGATACAACTCAAATTCACAAATGAGATGATGAAATCTCTACCTTAGGTCTTCAATTTCAAGTATGAAAGCTTAATTATGCAATTCCTCTTCAAATCTTCTAAGTTTCCAAGCAAAACTCTTGATGAAACCAATTTTCCTTTACTCTCCCTCTCTCTCACGATTTTCCTCTAGAAAATGATGAAGAATGATACAACTAAGCTCTAAACAATATTTTTGACAAAGTGGCCCACTAGTATGGCAAAAATGTAATTAAGTCCAACTAATGTACTTTAACTTAAATAACTCTAATTTAATCATCCCAAATCAAATTTGAATTAAAACTACCATAAAATCACATAAATTCTAATTAACATAAAATACCAATCAATTTCAGATTCGGCCGCCGATAAGGCCTTCAATTCGTAATTCGAAATTAAAACACGAACAGATCATTTAGTAGTCAAATAGATAGAAATGCATTTATAGACAATACACTCATGCAATCAGTTTAGGATTTCCTCCTAATCAGTTACTTATCATATTCGGTCACAGTTTAGCAATAATCAGAGGTGAGGGTTGTCACAGTTTCTCTGCTTGTTATCTATCATTCATTCATCTATTAAATGCATACCTGTTTTGCATCAGTTTTCTGTACTCATTTATTTTTTTGGTTGGCAACAATAAATTTTGTTAATGAAAGGAATAAATAAAGAGAAATACACATTGAAGGAGGACAGGAAGTCCACCAAATGGAAAATAAAAAGAAACAAAAATTACATATCACACAACTTGCAAATCTCTATTAATCAAAGGACATTTTGACTCAGGAAATAAGATAGTAGTAAGGGAATAAGGGTGCTAGGGTACAATGTAAAGGCTGTTACAGTGTGTCTCATCTCATGTGCAGTACCCTTACAAATATTCTTTCCTAATTTCATAACTCTAAGCTAAATACTCAGAAAAAAAAATCCAGAACCGTGTTTAGAATTTAAAGTATATAGTAAAGATTTAAACTTTATATGATAAATCTGATTTACATTGTTTGTATTGTATTGTGTATGCAGATTTAGATATGGCTTCTTCTTCTACTAACAGTAGCAACATCAGATTAAAACCGAGACTGTGTAATTGTGGAAGAACAGCTGCCATACATATTGTAAGAACCAATGAGAATGGAAATAAAGGGCATTTGTTCTTTGTTTACCCATCAAAACATGTAAGTGTACCTATTGGAAATATTAAATATGTAAGTAGTGACAATTTAATTTGTGTTATTCGACTAACTAATTGTCATGCATTGTAGACTGAAACTCCCAATTGCAATTACTTCAAGTTCGTGGATGAAGATGATGAAGATGTTACGTCCACAATTCGTTCCAACACTAGAGCTTCTGATGGTGTGACAGTAGAAGAATTTAACGAGCTGAGGAGGAGGCTGTATGACGTAGAAAATGAACATGAAGACTATGGTCGAAGGCTTCGAATGGTGGAAAATATTTTGAAGGCGATGGTGTATTTGATTGTGTTTTCAATACTTTTGTACTTTATGATGTAATGTTATTATGGATTTATGGATTTAATGTTATTATGGATTTAAAGGCGATGGTGTATTTGATTGTGTTTTCAATACTTTTGTACTTTATGATGTAATGTTATTATGGATTTAATGTTTTTGGCTTTGATGAATATATGCAATGAATTTAGAAGCTATTCATGAATGGAATTTGACGAATGTAGCTATGGATTTAATGATTATAGATGCAATGATTTTAGATGGTTTTTATGAATGGAATTTGGGAACTTGGGATGCGTGAGATGTTTGAGATGAATGTTTGAGATGTTTCAGAGCACTGTCCAGTTGGATTATATGATCAAAATAAGGATCATGTGTATAGCATACCAGTAGAATGATCAAAATAAGGATCAAAACTTTGTTGTTGGTGTACAGAATGATCATTCCTAAGGATCAAAACTGGTATGCTGGTGTACAGAATGATCAAACTGGTATGCTGGTGTACAGAATGCTAGTGTACAAAACGGGTATGCAGAATGATCAAAATAAGGATCAAAACTGGTGTACAGCATACCAGCAGAATGAATTTACAAAAAACCATATGAAACCATGATTTCAGAGCATTTCTGTACATCCTTTTCTTTTTGTTCCTTTTTTTTCCTTCATACTTCGCACACTTCACACTGTCTGGTCTGGCCAAGATCATTGCTAGCGTCCATCTACAAAACCATGTGTCCAGCATACTAGAAGCAATGAATACCTCTGCAGAACCATTGCAGAACCATACTTGTGCATACCAACAGAATCATGCAGAACCAATACAGATCAAGTGTACATCTAGTTTCAATACAGATCAAGTGTTCAATACAGATCAAATGTACAACATCTACTTTAAAATGTGTTCAATACAGAGCTTTGAATGTACAGATCAAATGCAGAACCAACATACCAGTTTGCTTTGAATATAGAACCAGCATACATTTGCTTTGAACAGTGTTCAATACAGAACCAGCATACCTGTTTGCATAACATTTCTTGACCATTTCTTGATACCCATAATAACACAAGAAAATATCAACTCATAACCATTGCAAAACCATAATCATTGCAGACATAATGAAGATCATTGCAGAACCATAGCAACAATCATTAAATGAACATGAACCATAAACAACATAAATGAACATCAACCAACATCAACCAAGTTAAATGAACATGAACATCAACCAACATCAGAACCAGAACCAACATGGACACCAATACAAGTTAAATGAACATCAACCAAATTAAATGAACACGAACCACAACCAGCTCACTTCGGTTTAACGTATAAATTATAATCAACTGTAACTGAACATCAACCAATACAAGTTTAACATCTAAATTAAAACATTGGTCCATCAAAATTGACACATTGGTCCATGTAATTTAACATATTGGTCCATATAATTTAACATTTGAACACACATTCCTCCACATCACTTTCCAGCAACAATGTGCTTCACAATTTTAGAGGCCACGACTTCACTTTCCAGCCCAATTTCAGCATCAGTTTGTTTCTGTTTCTGCTTGTCCATAACCTAAAAAAAAAGACAGAATTTTTAGCAAGTAAATACATGATATCACAGAATTTTCATCAACTAAAAACCTAGAATTTTCAGCAACTATAAATTAAAAATACATGAAGGACGAGCCTGACTACACATTGGAGTAGTTGATTCTTGAGAATATCGAAACCCAATGTCATATCCACATGAACCTTGTAGTAGTGACTGAAATGTTGGTTGAGCAGAATGCCGTTGAGGCATTGAAGTTGGCAAATAATTTGGCACCACATACATCTCCCACAAATTGTTCGCCTACAACAATGTCATATATTAGGCTTCGCAATTATGGTTTCAGTCATGGTTTGAGTCACATATTATATCCACACAAAAAATACAATGCTAAAGTAAGACTTACATGATATGTGGGATACATCAATGGCGGAGGAATATAATTACCACCCATGGGCAAAGATGGAGGAAGACGATGAAGGGGATGAAGAGGTTGAAGAGGAGGAACATGTTGACAAACATATATATCTCCTCCAACAGATAGTGGAGAAGGTGTAACTGTTGAACCTGCAATAGATTGTGACGAAGCCAAGCTGTTAGCACGGGATTTTTTTTTTGGAGTTTGCTACCAACGCCGCTTCGAATCCACCTTTGACCCTCCTTTTGCCCTTACCAGTTGCCACCTTTTTCTTCAATCCTTTTGGTTGCACAACATGATTCACATCTTCGCAATCCACTTCAAAGCTTTGGGTGTCATCATCATTACCTACTTCATTTCCAACACCAAAATGAGCACTTAACTTGCCTTTAACATTTGCACCTAATGTAGCAAGGTGTGCAATACAAAAATCATAAGTTTCTTCAGTTTCAGCAGCTCTACTTGCTAGAGCTCTAAATGCGGTCATCAATGTCTTATACCGCGAGACTTGTTGGAATTTCACATCTACTTCAATGTCATTCCCCTTAATGTCCTTCACAGCTTCGGCTCTTGCTTGTTTGGTCCACCTCTTTAGAATGTATTGTGGAGGAACCTCTTTCATCTTCAATATGTCTCTAATAACCTTCAATGAGTGACAACACAAGATTCCTTCCCTTTCAAACTTTGTACAATTACAACCCAAAGAGTCATCCCTCTCCATCTTCACTTTCCTTGCATGTTTGTTACCAACATCAACAACTGTGTAAATGGTACTAGCCTCGCCATATTTAATTGCTTCTATGTCTGATTCAATGGATTGAAAGTACTCATTTTGAAATTCCTCAAAGATCTTTTTTGTGTAGACATTACCCATTTGAATTAACATTCCTATTGTTGCTTTCACCATTGGCAACCTTTGGCACAAAGCATATTCTGCTTCTAACTCCTTGTATCGCTTCTCGTAAAGTATCCTTTCGAAATGCATGAAGAATTCATTTAAGTTAAAATCAGAACGAATGTAATCCTTCAAAAAAGCATTAAAAGATTCACTAAGTTGTGTAGTACTCATTCCCGCAGCCCATGTTGATCTAACGTAAGGCCAGCCCCATTTTTCTTTCACCGCAAAAGTCAATTTCAACCAATGGTTTTCATGCACATCATATTTATCAAGCATTTCCGCCGACTCTAACTTCCATTGATTTGCATCTTCAATGTAAAAGAAGAATTTATTTAGTGCACCCTTCACCCCTTTATCTTGGAACAAATAGTTAACATGTTTTAATGTATTTTGCATCAAATGCCAAGTACACAATCGGTGACTTGTGTCAGGCATAACGATGGGTATGGCTTTAGCCATTGCAGCATCTTGATTGGTGAAAAAAGTTTTTGGTGCCTTTCTTGACATAGCCTCTAGAAAATTTTCAAACAACCATACAAACGATTCGGTGGTCTCATCATACAACAATGCTACACCAAATATAACTGTTTCCCTATGATGGTTGAATCCCACAAAAGATGCGAAGGGTCTATGTTCTTTGTTTAACTTGTAAGTCGTATCAAATGTGATAACATCACCAAATTGGGCATAATCCATGATCATTTGTGCATCGGCTCAAAACATATTGGTTATTTGCTCCTCATTATCTAATTGAAAAGCATAAAAGAATGAAGGATTCTGCAAAGATTTTTCTTTAAAGTATTGCAACACATTGCCTACTTCCCCATATGTTAAACTTTGTTTTCTTTTGGTTCTCAAATAATTTTTAGAATCTAATTTCATAAACCCAAGACATTGTCTTCCACAAGCTTCCCTACCCATGAGTTCAAAAGACTGGCCTAAACGAAGACCAGATTGTGCCGCCAAATCTAACTGAATTGCTTGGGTAGTCGATATCTTTCTTTGTAACGGCAACATGTGGGCACACTCGGGTGATACAAGATTATGGTTGCGTTTTTCTTTGAAATCAGTCACAACAAATTTCCCAGTACCCTCATCTAATTTAATATAAAGTCGAGCCTCACAACTAGCCCTAGTTTTAGCTCTAGGGTTTTTTGACAATGAGTCTCGCTTGTCAACCTTTTGAAATCCCTCCTTGTTGCAAACCAAAAGTCTACAAATAAGTTGATTAGTGATGTGAGAACTCGAATATACAAATCAAGTAAATAATTAAATAATAATAATATTACAATCTCAAAATATTTTGGTGGTGAATCCTAAAGTGCAAATAAATATTTGGAAGGTCTTTTAATTGATTTTAAAACCTAAAATAAATTTATGGTGAAAGTCTTTAATTTAGAGGTAAGGTTTATTATAAATAAATAAAAAATAGAGAAGAGAGTGTGACTTGAACTCTAGGCCACAAAATTAATAAATAAGGCTCTTACCATTTGAGTTGCATATAACTTATAGATATATTTTGTATATTTATCTATTTATTTGACCTACACATGCTTTAGGTGTACTCAACCACTAGTATAAATAAAATAAACGCAAACCCTAATTCTTATGATATTGTTTTCCCACAACTTTCTGAGCAGCCGTGAGAGGTAAAGAGATGGAGAGAGACGTCTAGGTTATTGGGTGAAAAGTGTTGAAAATTGTTGAGTTTTGTAGTGGCCATTGGCAAGGTAAATCCCTTATTATTTTTATTCATTCACTACCTTTTTCTTCTTCTTGTGAGTTGCTGTGTAGTTGATGGATCAAATTGGTGAAGTAGGTACATGTGTTGGGCATGGCTATGAAATATTTGGCTGATTGGGATAGTGTTTTATGTATAAAGAATGGTGTAATTCTTAGTCCAAAAATTCTGCACAGAATCACAAACTTTAAAAATCAAGAAACCATATCAAACGGATGAATTTTAATCTGAAATTTTTACAGTAGATTAATTACATATTGAATTGCACATCTGAATTTTTTCATAATTTTGGAAGTCAAAATCTATATAAACTGATGCGTTCAAATCTGTCCAGAAAACTGGTTTTAAACAGTAAATTCGGGGGTGTTGTTCTCTTTGGGTATAAATCCAAAAATTATCAAATCTGCGTCATTAGAACCGGTTGCGAGTCTAGTTTCTTACATTTTTAGCCTTGCATTGATTGCTCGTGTATATTAAGAGAACCGTCAATTTCTTTAAAGTGCTACAGAAAATAACCTGTTTGGATATAATAAATTGTAGATAATTATTTTGATAAACAAATCAAGTGAAACCAATTGGGTTTAAAACTTAGGATATATTAGTTGATATCTGGAGGTTTTTGGAATTTTTCGAATAGCGTGGAGTGGATTTTGTAATTTTCAAAGTTAGCGAATAGATTGGGAAAACTTTTTTAAAACTCTGTTTTATCTTAAAATTATTTTTAGTTAAGTTTTGATCGGAACCCATGTCTTGGGTGATTTTACACCTTGAAGAACATGAATTTAGGTAATATTTAAGAGTAACGGTGAGTTGGGTTGAGCCGTGTTAGTGTGCTTTAGTTTGGGGTTACTTAGTTTATTATTCCTTTTAGTATGTTTGAATTAGTGGTGACGTGTAGTTTTAATTCTTTGTTCAAGGCACTAGTTGGAATTTTATACTCTATTCGAGGATTATATTATTTCGTTTTCAGGTCAGTAGTTTCATGCTACATATTTTTATAAATGTTCCCCTACCTTGAACTGTTGGAAAATTAAATTGTTGTTTCATGACTAAACTGTTTTGATAAATTATTATATTATCAATGGAATCAAATTATTTCTGAAACATGTGTGAACTTGGCATACTGCAAACTATTTGTTTTGGTCTCGTGTTTATAATGATGAACTACCATGTTTTGCGAAACTGATGTGTATTGATTATTGGGACCACATGTGTATTTAGTCCAGGGAAATTATTCCACTGTGTGTAGTGACTCTGGCCACTAGGGAACAGATCCGGGTTGGGCCGTGATGACTCTAGTGCTCAACGATTGTAAGGAAAAGACCTTAAAAAAAAAGCTAGGTGACCTTCAATCGGATCGTCTTTGAGAAAAGGCCCAAGTGCCACCCTGAGGATGATTCTTAGTTCGGTATTGGATCCAACGGGGCTTATAGCCTTGAGAACTGTGCGGCATATTACTTGTTACTTTATTGGTACCTAGAAAATTATTGGTGTTCATGTTATAATTTGTTTTAAGTGAAAAATGTCATTTATCATGTTCTTGTGAGACATGAGTATTTTAAGTGTTGAATTGTGGAACCTTCTTTTTGAAATAGATTGTATTTACCAAACTGTATGCCAATCTAGTTTCCGTGATATATATCTTATTTTGGAATTGAGTCATGTTTTCAAAACTGTATTTACTATCTATGTTGCTACTCACTGAGCTATCAACTGACATAGTTTTTATCACTTCCAGGTGTTAGAAGGACTCAGGGTGGACTCATGGCGTAGCTGAGACTCGATTGCATGGACCTCTAGGACATACATGTATTTTGTTTTAGATTGTCATGTCCAATTTGCGCATATTTCTTTTTATTTTTATTGAGGTTCATTTAGGATTATTTTGATATGTGGGCTGTTTATACCCCACAAGTTTGGATGGTTTTGATTACGGTTAATTTTTCCGTTTATAGTTGTGGCATGTCACTGGATTGAGTTTTGGTTATTTATTTCTGGACTATTGTATAGTTATTCAATGTGTTTATGGATTCGTGTTTAGGCTTACGTGTGCCTTGGACTAAGGCCCTGTGGGCCACGGCCGATCATACCCGGATTTGGGGTGTGACAATTATGGTATCAGAGCTATAGTTTATCAAGTTACATATCTTGCATTTCATCATTTAGACGAGGTCCCAGTCCTTATAGTCCTTAGTAGTGTGTGGTTGAGTCAGCTTTGTTTAAACTTGTGTTGAATCTTTATTGATTTCAGTTTGAAGGTTAAGAGCTAGCATCTAGATTTCTACGTGGATTGTCTATTCCTTGTGTGCCTTTGGATGCATGTATTACCTTGTCTACTTCATTACGAGAATCGGTAGTATTAGGAGATGTTTGTAGATCTTGTGAGATAAAGATGGATGGTAGGATTTTTCCAGTGGATTTGATTTCTTTAGAGATGAAGGATTTTGATGTGATTTTGGAGATGGATTTGTTGACGAAGCATCATGCTTCTATTGATTGTTTTAGAATGGGGGTAGTTTTTGCTATGTTGGGACAACTTGAGTTTTTCTTTCAGGGGGATAGGAAAGGGTCTTCTATTTGTTTTACTTCTTCCCCTTAGGCTAATCGAATGTTAAGTAAAGGGTGTCATGATTATTTAGCTTGTGTGGTGAGTATTGAACTGTCAGAATAGAAGTTAGAGGAGTTGCCTGTAGTGAGTGATTGTGTTGATGTTTTTCCAAAGGATCTACCTAGACTTCCTCTAGATCGTGAGGTAGAATTTTCCATTAACTTGGTCCCCAACACAACACTTATTTCTAAAGTGCCCTATATAATGGCACCATTGGAGTTGAGGGAATTACAAACTCAGTCATAGGAGTTGTTAGACAAATGTTTTATCAAGCCTAGTGTTTCATCTTGGGGAGCACCTGTGTTGTTTGTAAAGAAGAATGATCGGTCTATGAGCTTGTGTATTGATTATAGAGAACCAAACAAAGTCACAATGAAGAATATGTATCCTTTGCCACGTATTGATGACCTATTTGACAAATTGTAGGGAGTTCAAGTATTCCCTAAGATTGACTTGAGGTTAGGCTATCACCAGTTGAAAGTAAGGGATGAGGATGTTCCTAAGACTGCTTTTAGAACTCGTTATGGGCATTATGAGTTTTTGGCGATGTCTTTTGGTCTCACAAATGCAACAGCCGCATTCATGGATTTGATGAACAGAGTATTCAAACCCCAACTGAATAAATTTGTGGTAGTGTTTATTGATGACATCCTAATTTAATCGAGTAAGGAGGAGCATGAGCAGCATTTGAGAGTAGTACTACAGATCCTTAGGGAGAAGAGATTGTGTGCAAAATTTAAGAAGTGTGAATTCTGGTTGAGCAGCGTATTCTTTTTGGGTCATGTGGTGAGTACAAATGGGGTATCTGCGGATAGCATGAAGGTGACAGCAATTGTTGATTGGCCACGACCTACTTCGGTGACGGAGGTACGTAGCTTTCTAGGACTTGTTGGTTATTACAGACGGTTTGTGGAAGGATTCTCCCGTATTGCTTTGCCACTTACCAATCTCACTAGGAAAAGGGTCACGTTTGAGTGGAATGATGATTGTGAGCGTAGCTTCCAAGAGTTTAAATAGAGATTGACATCAACTCCAATCCTTACCTTACCTACAAACGGTGGTAGTTTTGTGATTTATAGTGATGCATCACGGAAGGGTTTAGGATGTGTGCTCATGCAGCATAGGAAGGAGATTACTTATGTATCACGACAATTGAAAATACATGAGAGAAACTATCCTACGTACGACTTGGAGTTAGCAGTAGTGATTTTCGCTCTTAAGATTTGGCGACATTATTTGTATGGAGAGTCATGTGAGATTTACACTGATCATAAGAGTTTGAAATATATTTTCACACTTAAGGAACTAAATTTGAAGCAAAGAAGATGGCTTGAGTTACTAAAAGAT